TTTCATAACCAATGCCTGATGGGCTACAAGCTTTGTTGTTAAGAAGTTGATTAATAGTTAATATAATTTCAGCCTCAGTAAAGTTAGAGAGAGTATTGGAATACCATGTAGAATTGATATTGGTTTGGGGTTGTATTTTATTTGCTATTGAGAGTTAAAAATGTCAGAGTCAATATGTCAGGGAGCAGTTTAATTTTCAAAGTATTGTTGAATATGAGATTTGATAGTTAGGAAGTAACTAATAATATCATTATCTAGACAAGTATTGTTAAATTTAACTAGGTTTTTATAGTGGTTAAGAATACTATTAATCATAGAAGTGAGATGAGTTTGAAGTTTAAACCATCTTTTGTTGATAGCATCAGAAATTTCTTATTTGATTTCTTTGATATTTTTCATATTATAAGAATAAAAAAGATTTTTTCACTCTGAGTTAGCATCAATAATTTAAGAAGTGAGGAGTTGGTATGAACTTGGAATTTAAAAAATATGTAACTCAGAGAATTGATTAAGTGAGAAGATAGAATTATTAAGATAATAAAGGATAGATAATTAGTGTTTTAAGACATATTTAGTTTGTTGAATAAGTTTCCAAGTTTTTTAAAATTTGAATGGGTGAGTAGCCTTAGAAGAGAATGTGTATTGAAAATTGCAAACAGTAAATTTTTTGTTGGAAATATGTTTTAGAGCAGCTATGATTATACTAGTATGGATTTTGTGCCAAGTAGTTTCAAGAAATTCTGAAGTGTGAGCTAAGAAAGGTATGTGATTAGAATCAAAATTGGTGCTGACTTGGTTTGAAAAATTTTTCCATTTTGTATTATTCATTGCTTTGTAGTTAAAAACTCTTTTGCAAGTACATGTTTTATATCTGTGTTGGCCATGTAGAGCATATAGAAAAGACCAGCAAGAGATGAAAATTTTGTAGTCACTAAGTAAATTAGTGTCTGTATTGTCAATATTAAAGGAAGTGAGATAAGTTAAGATAGTGTGACAGGTTTAGATAAAGTATATTTCATGGCTAGATCTAGAATTATGCTATATAAAAGAAAATAAAAAAGTATACAAGGCAAGGTTGTACATATTATTATATATAAGAAATTGAAGAAATTTGTATTAGATAGAAGAGATTTGGATATTATTGGTAGAGGCATTGAAATCTTCAAGTACTATAGAGAGTATGTTGAGAGTGTAAGCATCTTTTATCCATTGAATAATTGTGCTCTGGATTTCAAGTCTAATTGAGCTATTATCACAGGGAAGATATGTTGAGATAATATGGAATATAAAGTTATGTTTAAAGAAGAGATCAACTAGGATAGCATAGCCTAGAATAGATTTAGTACTAGAAAAATATGTAGCATTATAAGCCTGCATATTATATGATGATCATCTTATTATACAAACATGTAAATATGTATATTTTGTTATACTAAATTAACAAATTTGAACACGTGTGCAAACAGACAAAAAAATTTCAAATTATATTTCTAATATGATCTTCATAATGTTTATACAGACTTAGTTGAATACAGAAAAGTTTGGAAAATTTAGGAAGAGATAATCAAAAAATCACTATTTTTGGTTGAAATACATCAAAAATATAATTTTTGTATCACTAACATACAACTAAAAGACCCTCTGCTATGCTTTGGACAATTATATATATGAGGGATTAAGGAGTTATAATAGAGGTTTCAGATTTTGAGCTATTTGTACAGGATTGAAAATAGGTATAGTGTGAAGTTTCAAGAGGTTTTAAAGTAAGGCTATTGTTAGCTAGTTTAGTTTTGGTTAGACAAATAATATCAAGATTATTAGAGAGATAGTAGTCTTTCTAAACTTGCTATTTAAGATTTTTGTTAAAATCTTGAATATTGTGTATATATAATAAAAAATTAAGAAAAGAAGAATTGTTATTGTAAGAGTTATGAGTGTAAGATTTAAGAGAAATAAAAAAATTAAAGTAGATAGTATCAAGATAAGGTACAATAACATGATCTGATAGAGGGCAAAGCTCTCCTGATAAATAAATATAGGCTTTTCTATAGTCAGTTTTAACAGATATGATGATTTGTTTATATAGTTTGTTCTACAAACTAATTTTAAATAAATGTAAAAAGAAGGAATTGAGTATTTGAGAAGCTTAGATTGAAAGAGAGTTTTGAGATATAAGAAATTGGTCAAAGCAGGTCGATAGATCATAAGATATAGAAGGCATTGTAACATGAACCTTATGTAAGTCTTCTACATTGTCGCTTGCAATATACCTGGCTTTCATAGTTCTACAAGAATTAGAAATACTCTAGTTAGAAGTTAGAGTACTGTCATTATCTGATTCTTTTGGATACCTATATTGGATTTATATTAAACCAAGTCATATTATACTTTGTTTATTCTTCAGTTAACTGACAAATTAAATAAAAAAATGTTAAAATAAAATTTAAAAAAAATTAAAAAAAAATTACACCAAATAAATCTATTATTTTACAATATTTGCGGTTAAAATAAATTCAGGTTTAGTTGAACCCAATTCAGGTTCTTTAAACCCAATTCAGATTTGTTTGAACCCAATTTGGGTTTGTTTAAACCTAATTTAGGTTTATTTGAACCCAATTCTGGTTTTTTGAACACAATTTGGGTTGTTTGAACCCAATTCAAATTCTTTGAACCCAATTCAAATTCTTTGAACCCAATTCGGGGTTGTTTAACCCAATTCACATTTTTTTGACCCAATTTGTATTCTTTGACCCAATCCGAGTTCTTTTGAACTCAATTCACATTCTTTGAACTCAATTCAGGTTCAGTTGAACTTAATTTGGATTTGTTTAAACCCAATTTAGCTTCTTTGAACCTATTTTGAGTTTATTTGAACCACTTCAGGTTCATTTGAACCCATGCTAAGTTAATTTGAACTTACTTCAGATCTATTTGATCCATGTCAAGTTTATTTGAACCCACTTCAGATCTATTTGAACCCACATTAGGTTCATATGAACCCACTTCAGATTTATTAAAATCACATTAGGTTCATTTAAACTCACTTCAGGTTTATTTAAACCCATGTCAGGTCTATTTGAACCTACATCAGTCTATTTGAACCTATATTGGGTTTATTTGAACCAAAATTGAGCTTATTTACAAAAAACTCAAACCTAGACAATGACCAGGTTCTAAAAACTAATATAATTTAAGCCTAAGAATTAGCAAAAAATTAGAAACTAGTAGAACAATATTTTCGGTTCATACTGCATTTTTCATAAATGGCATAACAAAGAAATTATCGATATTATACTGCATAGAGTAATTATATAATTGATATATTGTTATTACGCAAAGTAACATATTATTGCAACGGTTTAAAATAGTTAACGTCAAACACGCAAGGTTTATATTGCCCTAATTTTAAGTTATTCACCTGACAACAGACGAGAAACGCAAAATACAAGAAACCTAAGGTCATACTCATCGTTGCACAACAATAGAGATGAAATCATGTGAACAAGTTGTCCAATCGGAATCAAAATAGCTACTCCACTTAACTTGCCTGTAAATCATACACTGCGTACTTTGTACTTCGTTCTTGGTAAAAATTAAAATTTGGCCGCAACTTTTTTTTTAACGGATACCTAAACTTTGAACAAAGACTACCTAACCAAATTCGATCAAACTTTTTTATTTATTTATTTTAATTCTATATCCAAAATAAAAAAATTGATTGAATTTGGTTAGGTAAGTGGCGAGTAATCTTAGTAATCTTCGTTCAAAGTTTAGCTATTTAATTTTTAATCGACATTTCTTAACATCCATCTATTCAAACTCGATAAAATTTTCATTTACTTTGATCCTAAAGACTCGCGTAATCGAATAAAAAAAAATTTCATTGAATTTGGATAGATGGTTGTTAATGAATCATAAAGAAAAAAAATTGCCGAATTTAGTTTTTTTTCTAAGATATTTCAGTTTTATCGAAACTTCTAGCAAAGGTTTCTCGATAACAACTAAACTAAATTCGATGGATTTTTTTATTTATTTTAATTCTAAAAATGTATAGAACCGGAATAAAAAATTTTTTTCCAAGTTTAATAAATATTATTGTGAAATCTTTGCTAGAAGTTTAAAAATTTTCAAAAATTTAAAACGGATTTTCACCCGGAATTTTCTTGAAATCTACTCCTGCTTTTGTGTCCTGAAGGATCTAAAAATGACAATATTAAATTCACAACCAAATAAACAAGTGTAACAACACAAGCTGCAGTTATTGTTCACTATACGCCTAATAACTATATATATAATATTATATAACATTCAATAACTTGAATCGAAGTCTTGGTTAAGGTTTATTCTTTATATTCAATAACAAACAACATTAAAGTATACATAGTAGGAATATTTAGAAACTTAATGGTTTATTTTAACTGCCTTAATATGAAATATTCTTTTATTTACAAATAAAAATAATACTATGGAATGAAATAAGAAGCTTAGTTAAAAAAAATATAGTATCGACATCAACATCATCACAATGCTAGACAAATATGGAAGATCTGTATTATCGATAGTGGTTTAAATTTATAAGATTTGACCGGCAACGATAAAAATTACAAAGTGAGCCTATAATTGTAGTTTAGATCACCCGATACTATTTTAAGCTAATTTACAATTAATTAGGTGGTACAATACTTTATCATCGTTACTAATTATATAAAGATAATGAAATAAAGCTGCTCATTCAATTTTAAATGAAAGTCAAAAAGTTAAGTAAACAATGAGACATAAATTTTTAGAATACAATTATTTATTTATATTTCATTATTGTATATACGAAAAAAAAAAAAGTAAATTATTGACTATCAAAGTTCACTTTTGTTTAGAATAGAATATCCTAAATATTTGAACAAAAAAAAAAAAAAAAAGGAATTCTAAAAAACATTAAAAATAAAGTTCTTATCTATTACCAAGGTATGTCTAATCTTGCATACATTGTTCTTATTAAATGATTATAATTCCCATTCATGTTGAAAATCTTCTTCATTTTGATTTGTATTTCTTTTTCGAACTTTAAAGCAATCGCCAGTACAAGGACCTCTATCTATAGCATGGAATAGGCGTTCAAGTGAAGTCGCCAAAACACATGAACATAATATCAGACTTACAAATGGTATAAAGGTAAATCCTCCCATTTGTAGTTTATATAATATCTGTAAAATTTTTGAATAAGATATATGTTAAGATAATTAATCAAAAAGATTATAAAGTGCATACCAGAATTGTAAATTGAGGAATATCTTCAATAAATATATTTATAACGGAAGCCCAAGCGATAGCTTTTGCAGAGTCATTTGAAAATTCGTAAGAAAATGATTCGTATCCACCAAATCCTGAACTAATTAGTCGTAAAGATTGAATATCAATGGCACAACAAAACGTCATTATTGCGTTAAATTGATTGTTTTCGGGGACGGTCCTATTATCAGGACGGCGCTTTTCTATTATAAAGATTGTCAGTCCCATCATAAAATTAAATGCCGCTGGGAAGATAAAAAAAACCAAACTAATAGAAATAAAAAAAAAAAGAAAAATTGAATAAATATTTAACAAATATTTTTTGAAATGTAAATTCTCCAATACCTTGGCATATAAAATGATTGAATGTCTTGAGCATTATTTAGTAAAAAAACGATTTCAAAAACAAAATCATATACTAGCAACATATAGTTGAAAATAAAAAAATTGGCTCCCCCTCCTCTACGGCTGCACCATCCACAAAAATACAGTAATAACGCTAAGAGAATCGCAGCGGCTAATCCGATTAGACCAGATGAATTTTGCTGAACAAATTTCACTTATTGTGATATAATTAATTTATAAGATAATATTTTTATTGAATCAATAAAATTAATAAAAAATAATTAGACGGATTACAGTTTATATCTCTATTTAAACGAGGAATAATTCGAGCTTACCAAATTGTTGCGTGGTATCAGACATTGCTTATTTTATTACTTATAATTGGTTAAATGGATCTCAAATAAGCTAAATTCATATATAATATTAGAAATTTGGAAGAGATCTTAAAAAAGAAATGCGTACATTTCTCCATCTTTTATGTAAAATTGAAAAATCTTTTTCGCGGTTACAAAAGGTATGATGGTATAAATGAATGTCCCTTTTAGTATGAATAAAAGTTACACTGTTACACTTGATTTTGTAAATACTAAAAACAGCAAGTACACGAGTAACATATCACATGTGTATTTTTGGAAGAAAATATGGAAATTTTAATTAATAAATTTTCCTTTGGCAACAACATTTAATTATTGATTTAATATAAAGTTTATCCACCTAATTTTATTGGGCATAAATGAAATAATTATGTTAAATAGTTTATTTCGAATGTTTAAATTAAATAATCCTCCTGAAACGAGAAAGCACCGTAACTATGTGTATGAGCAGTTTCACTGAATCAAATCTGTCGTCCGCTAGAAACATTCGAGGTCAATGAAGCTTTAACGCTATGAAAATGAAATGGATAATATTGTATTTAAACGGACTAGTTAAATTTTTGCAGAGGAAAAAGATATATTAAAACTAACCACACTATCAAATTGTTATTATGCACAATCTGAACATTAGGTTACGAATTAATTTCTATGTTTATAGTGACTTGTGACACATTAGAAGTTTTTGAGATACGAAATTATGGTTACGGCTACGGTTACATCATAATCTGAATAAGTCCCTTGTACCGTAATATAATTAGTTACGTAACCTTAACCATGACTTTTAAATGAATTATATATAAAATTGACCATTATTATAGCTACGTTATAAAAGTATTATAAATGCAGAAATATTAATTGTTATAGAGGTTTCTTTTTTAGAAAATCATGCGCCCAATGATTTCACAAATCAAAATTCTGTAAATTTATTAATACTAATTACATTAACAAAGATACACACTCATTATTATATGAAGCTAATAATAATGTTGAGCGCTTTTTTGTAGTAATTAAATGAAATAAGTAGTGTTAATTTATTTATTGAAGAAATCATCAATCTTTCAAATCCGGCTTTATTGGTAATAATAATTCATTTATTGAAGAAAAATGTTATGAAAAATATGCCTTATGAATAACATGTTAAATATTTCATTATTTTGTAGAACATAATACTTTTTTCAGGATGCTTCAGTTTCTTCACTAATAGAATAGAAGCCCCTTCTGACCCTGTAAAGTTATATAATAAGTTGTAGTTTTGGCCTGTAATTAATAACCAATTATAAACTATTATAAAATAAAATTAAAAATCATCATTATTAAGGATCAATTCAGATGACATGATGGCATTTAAAAATCGTAGATATTCTTATCAAGCATTAAATAAATAAGAAGTTTATCCAAATGATATGTGCCGCGAATATTTTTATAAATTTGTAAGTTTATATGAAAAATCACTCGAAGATTTGAATCGATCCGAATCATAGTATACTACAAATTTGAAAAGTCACATGCAGACTTAGATAATCGTTTAAAAATTGATCAAAATAATGAATTTATTGAATATATTGAGGTACTTCAATAAGAATATCTTAAAAACAAATTATGACAATAAACTATACATTTAATTGTCCGTTACAATGTAAGTTGAATTCATGTGATCAGAATTCTATTCGTAACCAATACCAATTTTGAAATAATAAAATTTGTAATGCATATTATGCAAAATATCTTGATACTTTCTTTATATATAGTAAATCTATTTAAACCACGAATCGAAGCTTCTAGAAGTATACTTATGTCTAATCTATAAATGTGTAACATTTAATGCATTGTTAGACAGTGTGGGATGATGGTGTTTAATGACGATTAAATTAATGTTGTTACATGTGTACTATGTGTACTGTATATCGAAGAGAGTATAGTAGAATTATTACACGTTGAAATATAATATTTTAATAAAAATTCCTTTATCTACTAAATTCACTTTGGGATTACCATAAATGTAAACGGCGAAGATTACAACCATTACTACAACGAATAATTCCGGATGCATGATATGAAGATGTACCTTCAGCTGCAGAATTATCACAAATTCCAGGTGAGGGTTCCTTATCGACATCAAGGTAACATGTATTTTGTGTAAAAGCCCATCCTATGCAATTAGGATTTTGAACACATGCTGCACAACAATCGCTATCGGTTAACACTTTTTGTTTTGTGACTACATTTACGGAAGGTAATTGTTGAATCGAGTTTTTCCATCCTGGACTTACACCAGGACTTCCACAACAATTTTGAATATCACTTGAAGAATCATGAGAGCTCCCATAAACAGAAAATGCCAATAAGCATGTAAGAAAAACTAAGTATAAAATTTGATGATTCATTACGTTATGTTGTAAATTATGTTTACAAAATAGCTTTCAAAGTTGTATGATAATAAGGTTTAAAAACTTGATATAACATAAGAAGAATTTTAACAGCTTATATAGAAATTTTGTCAATAAGCAATACAACATTAAAATATTAAGCATAATCATTTTTTTACAATCAGTTCATTGACTTATGTACTATAACAATAATATATGCAAATATAATCATTGATGTGCAACATCTATGGCTTGCAGAAATTCTAAAAGGAAAAAACGAAATGACGACAGTTCAAACGCAAAATTATGTGATTGAAGCATAAAGAGGGAAGAAAAAAAAACGAAAGATGGATTAAAATTATCTTTTTGTACCTAATAAAAAAATATTTTTTGAAAATTTTGGTAGGAATTGACTTTCCAAAAACTAATAATAACCCCGATATACTTTACATGTTCGTTGTAATGATGCTAGAATTTAAGTCACATGACTCAACATTTCGTTCTCGCTATCGCTATAGTTATGATATGCATTTAATTAATTACTTATAAACTGCATTTAGCATTAGAAAGAGATAATCATCTTACAATGTAACCATGCCTATAAGCATTTCTAATATATATTTATTATATTCGAATAAATTACACTGGATTTTTCCCGCCAAGAATAAAGAAGTACAGCATGCCATGCATGTACAGTACGCATGTACAATATGTACGTATAGTACACACCCTTAGAGGCATCATAAAAAATGCATATCACAAACCACATCTTATCAAAGCTATCCAGAGTCGAAAATTAAAATCATTATCGCATACTGCAGATTTTTGTAAACTGAATTCGGGCAAAAAGCAATTAAAGTAGAATAGAAATTTTTGGAAAAAATTTCAATTTAAATTGTAATGTATTTAATTAACAAATTTCGATGAAATTTCATTATTTTTGATTACTTATTGTTTTACAAACAAGGAAAGTAGGCAAGATTATATATAGAGCTATATAGATTCGATAATGACTTGCTATAAATAGGAATTGTCCAAAGCCAGGTAGCTTTGGATTCTCATTGAATGAAATAAATTTCCAATTGGATGGACGGTAATACTTTTTTTGACATATAAAGAGCTACTAATACTTGGCGTGATAGCTTTCTAATCCTATTTTGGATTAGAAGTGCAATTCATAAATTTTTTAGGGCATGGCCTACGATATTTCTCTAACGCTAACGGTCAAGTATAATGTTAAAAATTTTTCGGGTAATGATTTAATTAAAGCAGCACATATAAAATATAGCGATTTACACACAGATAAAATGGGGAAATCCCATCCCTGACCCTGCGTTAGAGGCAGTAATTAGATACAAATTCAACAAAGTAGTTAAAGTCATGAAGTATGAAAGTAAAAAAGTCAGTAATGATAGAAAAAAGAAAAAAATTGTAAAAGAATTTCTTTAATAATTAAATTAATAATTAACTAATGTAAAATCAAGAAATTAATAAAGTACGCCACCGGCGTCCCGGGTATTCGCAGGCAGGTTAAAATCGAAAAAAAAAAAATATAGCGATCTATATGTTTTGTGAAAAGGATAGTTTTCACCTATAAGCTAACATTTAAATATTACAATTTAATTGGTATTCTTTTTATAACAAAAAAAATTTGTCATTTCATATTTTTATGCTATCTATGTTTTTTTTCCTTTTACGCCAGAAATTTTTGAAGTATCTTATTTTGAAAATGGCGTTTTGAGACTATCGATGAAATCAAACTCGAAATTTGGTTGGCAT